AATTATGAATGACCTTAGAGAGTACTCCAAAAACACAGATAACTTTGTGTTCAAACTCAATTTCTTTTGTATCAATAGAACTGCTTATGGCATAGTTATGTGGAAGTCAGTTTTGTGAGCTTATGAGCAATGATGTTATATTAACTGAAGGACATGAAAATTATTGGTACTGTCAATAATGTGCTTCTTTTGTAGCCACAGTGAATCCGTCATGTTTGCCACATTGTGCATTCTTTAGTTGGTAATCTATAGTAGCAAAAACCCCTTCAATCTCATTTGCATCACCTGTACAAATCTGTACTTGCCTTCCAGATAAATCCCAGGCTAGGGTATGATCCACACATACTTTCAAAAGAGGTCAGAAAAGAGTTAAGTGCAAAAGGCACTAAAGGAACTAGAAAAGGGAGCCTAGTGCTAATGACAGCTTTTATGTAAGTGCCCTGCCACCTATCTGACTGCCTGCAGGATGCCATCCTTTGTGCTCTGCTAGGGTATGCTTAGAACACTTTAATGGGATGTGGTCTTGTTTTTAAAGAGCCATCATTACTGAGAAAACTTTGTTCAAAAAATTGAAACTGTGCTAGAGAATATCAGTGCAAATTGAACAAAGCATTTCCAAACCTGACTCAATCTGTATGTCCCCATTTTACTTTGATTCCTTTCCCCCCTCCCCTCCCCAATTGTGAAAAAAAAGTAGAAAGGAAAATGGTAAAGTTTCTATCACTAGTAGAACTCTAAGCAGGTCTGAGGATGGAATCTGGGGGTTCAAATTTCAGTTTGGGGTTAGCATCAAGGACAGCCTGAAGACAGGAAGGCTTGAAAAAACTGGCTTAATGCTCACATGAAGGTCTGAGCAGGATATTTCCTATAAGTCTTCCTTCCCCACCCCTAGGCTAGTACCAAATTACATATATTGCTTCAGATTTTCAACATTTCCAAATCTGGATTAATTTACATTTGGAGAGAGGGTGTGAATTAAACTGTTATAAAAGGCTTAGACGGAGTGCCAGCTTGTTACTATGCTTTTTCAAGCATTAAATGCTTTTTCTGTTAAGGAAACCCTCAGAATTTCTTGCATCTGGAAATCTCTCTCGTTGCACAGCTGATTTATAAATGCAAAAGGAGACATACACAAGCATTTGTAATAATATAACAACTCCTTTTGACTTCACTGTAGTTGGAGGCTCTATTGTATTATGGTCTATAGTAACGTGTTTCCTTCTTTATGGAGATTTTAATCTGAATAAAAGATAGCTGCTGCAGGGATGCAGGAATCAAGAGAAAAGTTAGAAGCAACACAGAAGAACAGAGCACAAAAGAGCACACACCAAACTGTACAGCCAGTGCAGTGAGAACTTGCGGCTTGCAGCCTGAATTGCACTGACAGTCCAGAGCGAGAAGATGGGCTTGATACCATTTCTTAATTCATTAGATATTGACTTCAGCTTGCATGCTTCATTTCTCATGCCACAGACAGTATACATAGCCATGAATATGAATCTCCTCCTCCTTTTCTGCTGTCATTTTCTCCTGAATTCTCTTGTGTACTAAGTGCCTGCATACACACAGTTCCATTTTCTGCCAAGGGATGTGATTTAATTCCTGTGCTCTGTTTCTTGCAAACACATTTATACTATGTGTTCTAATTAAAATAGTAAAGCATTGGATGAGGCTTTATTTGAGTCAAATTTGGCTATGTAAAGGATGGTCTTGTTCTTGCTGTTGTTGATACCTGTATGAGAACTGTGTTAGTCACTAAGGATTTTGCTAGCAAATTATATTCAAGGCCTGTTCAACTCCTCCCTTGGTAGCATTCACAGAAACCTCTCCTTTATATATTAACTTATTCAATTAGCCCCTTCCAATTTCTATAGGCTCTGTAACAATTACTCTGGTATCCCAAATTTCTCAGCGATTAGTTTCCATCCTGAGCTATTACCACCCAAAATATCCTCCAGGCACTTTAGCATGTTCATCTACTTGTGACTTATGGTCTGCCCTAACACTCAGCTCACTACCACCTGTGTAAGCATCTTCCTTCCAACTAGTGAATATAGGAAGGAGCTTAGAGCTGAGCTCCTTTAATTTGTCTTCACTGGGGCCACAGAAGCAGAAGGGACTCAGAGCTTTGAGAGGAGATTGTGGTGATTTTCTTTCCTTATTTGTTCACTATTTGAATTTAGAAGAGCCTTAGAGATTCTATATTCTCTTTTACAGGCCTTCTTCAATCCACTGGCAGTAAGTCATTGATATTGTGGTGTAGTTACAGACCACAGCTCATGTCTCACATCACCAATACTAACGTCAGAGACAGTCTAAATGCTGGCAGCAAAAATTGTCATCAACTCAACAGCTCGGTTACTTTTCTCCCTAACTCCTTGCTGAGTAAGAAGACAGTAAGTATGTGCATTAGCATATCATTCTTCAAATGTGACTGATAGTTGTATGGTGCCTAACATATGAGATAAATGTGAACTCAAATGTAAAGAAATGGTCAGCAGTATTAAATAAACAGAAAACAACTGCTTAAACAGTGCATCCTACTGTTGTGAAGCTCATAGCCATCAGCAAAAGTTGTGGCAGAAAAAATACATAAGCAGGCTTAAAAAGATTGGAAAGATTTGCCTAGGGTGGTTCCATCCATGGCTATTAAATATGCTGGTCCAAATGCATATTCCAGCTCAGGAAACCACGAGACTTTGCCATGAAGTTCTAACAGAAAAAAAACTCTGCAGACCATTGTCTGCAAAGTGGTAGAAAATAATGATGTCCTTCTGTACCTTGACATAGCCTGCAGCAGATCTGACTGTTCCTGTCATTGTAAAATAACTGGAAAGAAAAAAATAAAAGAAAAACAAACAAACAAAAACTACTCTATCCAGTGATATTCTCCTAGAAAGTCACGTTGCAGCTGAGGTGAAAATCATGCAGCCACAGATTGGAGAAAGAGTCTCAGACTGCGGTGTTCAGTCCTGCTCAGATCAGCAAGCTCTCCAGAAAGCAGTGTGGTTAAATCCACCACTCCAAGCATTTCCACCCGAGAGGCTGCTCTGAAGCTTTCTACAGAGAAAGGATTTAATTAACCAAAATCTCCAAATGTGATTTTCCTGGTATAGTGCAATTTTCAATATAATAAACTGCCAAAATGGATGCTTTGTGATTCATGATGCTCGTTTGCTTAGACAGCTTTTAAGACGATCCCTAAGTACCAAAAAAGCTCAGGCACCAGAGGAGGAGATGCTATGCTGAGCAGGTTTGAATGTCATAAATGTACTGTTGTGGGTTAGTAATTGTATCACAGTTGACAGATGCTGCAGCAATCATGTGACTAGAACATGACCTCATATTTCTGCTTTCTCTTCTCCTCCCCCAGTAGTGAGGGCAGTGCTATCAGCCCTTAAATAAGCAAAAAGCCTGTATGGAAGGCTAGTTGGTGAGTTACTTAAAGGAGAAGCCTGAATTTGGACACACGGATGTACTTTGTATGAACTATTAAGCAGCTTCTCAACAGTGGCAGGTATGCAAAACTTTTTTTTTTTTTTTTCCACTTGGGAAGTGCACTACATTTGCTATTAGGGTAAAAATATTGAATCACAAGTCACACGGGCTTAGATCATCCCTTCCCAATGAAAAAGCTGCAGGAGGGGCCTTAGAGGGAAGAAAATGCCTCAATGATCTGTTCACAGGATTACTATGCAGACAATCGGGCTGCTGCAAGCTCTGATGTCCTCCAGGGATATGTGGGAGGATACTGCAGCACGGAGGGGGCTGTCTCTGCCCTGCCTGTTCCCCAGCTCTGGATGCTCTGTCAGGATGATTTTACAGGAGGCATGGCAGAGCTTCTGCTTCTTTCACTGGAGTCCCAGGAACTGGGGATTTCCAAGAAGGATGGAATAACTTCGAATGGCACCTCATTTTCTGGGGATTTTACAGGGGTACTGAGTGTCCCCATAAGCCTGATTGCTGTTTCTCTTCTCTTCTCTTCTCTTCTCTTCTCTTCTCTTCTCTTCTCTTCTCTTCTCTTCTCTTCTCTTTCTTTTCTTCCTAGATTTTGGATCACACAAGTCCCAGAAGGGTTCTGCGAGAAGAAAAAAGATGATGCTTTCTTGACAGATGAACACTACCTCAGCATGAAGGGGATCCCACCTCGGAAATTTCCAAAGATGCAATCTGCCCTGTGGCGATGATTTTCTATCAAACTGTTACACAGGAATCAAAGCTGAGGCTAGGTGAGGGTTAGAGGTTCTGAATTAAAATCCCAGCTTTGCACTGATCTCCTGGCCTCTTATGCCATGCATGAAATGACAATACCAATTACTTGCTCAGTGATCCTAACAGAAAGCGTTCTAAAAGTGCCAAGATTTTTGTATTTTTTTGAGCTTTCTCACTAGTATATCTTCAATTTACAACAATCCCTAGAACACAGACCAGAAATTTTTCATAACAGCTTCAGTGCTATTAAATAGATGAAAAAATATATATATTTATTCCATACAATTACTCTTATCTAATCCATCTTTCCTTTTGCACTCTATTACTTATCTCCTCTTGGGATCCAAATGTGCCACAGGTATTCTAATCTAACAGTTGCTGTAGCAGTGCTTTGATCAGAAAGATCCTAGTTAGTCTTCTTTATGTTGATAGCACATTGGAAAGGGATAGGAGTTATCTGTTTCAGATAAACAGGATTTCAGTCATGTTTTGGTTTCAGATCCAGGAAAGCCTTTCCTGGGGACCTGCACTCCATGGCCGTGGCACTACCTCCTCGCCCAAGCTTTCATAATCTGCTTTCAGCCAGCAGTTTCTCTCAGAAAGACTTTCCATGGCGGAGAGAAACTCTACTGGTGTTAAAAACGAACACACTCATCAACGCCAGGAGCATCCCCGCCTTCTTTGCCCGCGATCCCCCCCCGGCGCAGCCGCCATCTCGGGTGCCGTGTCCCGGGCGCGGCGCCATCTTGTGGTGGCTGCGGGTTGGTGCAGGCAGGCTGGCCGTTGCGCCGGGCAGTGCGGGGGGGGGGAAGGGGGGGCGGTTGTTGGGGACATTGCCCTTGCTGCTATGGAGAGAAGAGAAAGCATTGTGAAGGAACAACCGCTTCAGAACCCCGTGAAGCCTCTCTGGGATGTGCCTGTGTGAGAGCCGCAGTTGTGAGGACTCTATATTGGCATTTTGGAGTCTCACCCCGAGCCCCAGCTCCTTCTCAGCACACTGGGAAGTGCTTTCCCAATGCAAACCACCTCAGCAACACAGGACTGCCTTACGCTCGTTGCTGAACAGGTAAAATAGTGTGGTGTTGAATAAGTATTTGCCCTGTTTAGGATGAGCCTACATCTAACCCCATCTACGTGCAGATGACTCATAATATATTTTCCACATTTCACCAAGAATTAAAAACCTCAGTCACCTCTTTTCACTTGCAGCCTGGCTTGTGACAATGTGTTTTCTTGTGAATCCTGAGCTGCAAGTGAATAACGGTGAAAAGAATCTGTTGACCCCTTCCATCATTCCTCAAACTGTGGTGATGGTGGTGTGACTTCGAGGGCGGTGGGAAAAACTGACTCACCCCTAGTTCTAAACTGGCCTCCCCTGCTGCTGGGCAGCATCAGCAGGCACCAGGCACAGAGCAGCTCGGGTAAGCACTGCAAGGAAAGCCCACACGCCTTCTGAAAGCTTACATACCTCCCAAAGCTGGAACTGAATGAAATTTGTAACAGTGTGGCAAGAGTCAGTTTCAGCTTTGTCATGCATCTTCCATTAGGGAGTCTCTCTTCAGATGTCTTCTCACCAAAGCCTAATAAAAGGTGTTAGTTAGGCCTCAATTATCTCATATAATTGGATGAAAAGTTTTCGGAGGTGCACTCTGTACTCACAGTGTTATGAATATTGATCAAAATACACTTCAGCAGATACATAATTTATATTTTGATGCCTATAATCATTTGAAAATCTACTTCTTGGTGTTTAGCTTGTTTTTTCTTACTTCTATTAGTACTGGTAAATTAAGTAGTTATCGAATAATTACTGTTATTTATTAGAAAGTGCTAGGGTGAAAGCATCAAACAATCTAACACATATTCTGCTGTGTTGACTTATTTGATGAGACAAAGAAGTACAAGACCTCTATGTGAGCCCCACTTAAGCCATGGACCTTCAGGAGTGACAAAAGTTCACTTTTACAAGTTTCCAATAAGGCCACTTGCCTTGAGTATATAGGCCAATCATATTTTTATGTCTTACACACTAGACCCTCCCTGGCCAGACTAGGAGGGGAAATTTATTATAGAAGGGCCTCAGGATATGCCCCCTTGTACGTGGTAAGCATTGCTATAAATGAAATTTTATTTGTGGTGTAGATTGATGACAGTACCCCTGGCAATTTGTCTAGGGCTTTAAAATTTTCTCTTCTGACTTGCACTGGGAATTAAATTAAGCAGCTGAACTTTGCTTTTCTACTTACAATCTGTCTAATCAAAGCAGGAGATCCTCCTGAATCCCTAAATGACCAACTTGCTGGAAGGAGTCCCTGATAGATTTCTCTTTTAAAATTAGCACAGCCCAGAATAGTAACTCTTACATAATATATACACAGCAAATATGGGAGTTGCTGTAATTTCAGTGATAGACTGCAGATTTTCTGCCTTGCAGAGTAACCAAAGCAGACAGCGTTGCAGTCATCCCTCATTTAAAAAGCTTGAGCAAATAAGATTGTTCTTATGAAGCAGAGGATAGCGTTTCCTTTAGGTATCAGAATATTGTTGACAACAAAATGGACAGTGACACATCCCTTGTTATGTGTCCATGAGTATTACTGTGGCCTCTGTTTACTTCAAAACCTACAGGTTCACTGGACCACCTGTTTCTGAGGAAAAGGAAGGACAGGAGGCAGGAATTTGCACTCTGCTGGTGACAGGCTAGTGGGGCTACTAAAGGAAGTGTAGTGCTTACATAAATATGATCCCTGCTTATTCACAGCTAATTATGTTTGGAGCATATACTCTTTCATGCAGCCTGTGCCTCAGCTGGGAGATCCTAAATGAGGAAAGAACAGGAATTAGACCTTTCTGGCATAGTGTGTTTGACAGAGATCTGACAAGAAGGAATGAAATAGACATTCAACCTATTTTCACCCTCTCCTGCTTTCTACTTTCCACAGCTTGATACTTCTCATAACAGTGAACCCCAGAACAATTGCAAAGTCTGTACTTCATGTGGATTCATCTCAGCCTGATACCTGTTGTGTTTCAAGGAGTGAATCCATGAAATACTGCATTCTCTGAGTGATCTGTCTCTATTAAGCTGACAACTCTTGGGGACTGTAGCTTACCAAGCTGGGTAGATTCAAGTGCTCCGCTAGGCAGGACGGCAGGGTATCCTGGCCTCCCAGAGTTGCTCAAGTGAGGAAGCAGCAAGGACCTTCACAGTGCTTAGTCAGATGGTAGTAGTCATGAATATTCTTGGACATAATTTCTATTTCACTGGGATCCACTGATAAAATGTCCTAGAACTGCTGGCACCTTGGATATAGAGTGCAGGCTGGATGAATATTTGGCCCCGTGTCACTTGATGAGATTAATTTACAAATTTGCTTATCTAGGAAACCTGGATAGAAACAGGAACATGTCAACTAAGCAGTTACCTCCATACTCAGAAGCTAAGATGAATCATACTGACCTATGGTCCTTGCCATTTCCCAAATTCTTAAAAAACGAATAAATCTACCAGAGAAAGCACTAAGGAGTTAGTCAGGTTAACCTCGATTTTGCAGAGTCATCTTTGTAATTTTTGATCTGATGACAAGTATCCCCTCTGCTGATTTGATAGGGTACCCTTTCTTAGATAGGTGTAAATGAGGATACAGACAAAGCAATGTTGTCTCAAAACCAGCTCATTACATAGAAGAAATGTGTCAGTTTCATTAGAATGTTGATGATGCACTTATTTAACTGTATGTTCATTTAAACTTTGCTTATGCTGGTGGTCCCATCCAGAAACACAGAGTATGCACATATATGTATATCTGCACTGGTTGAACTAATTGATGTGATGCTGTATTTTTAGCTAAATCATTTAACTCTTTAATGAATACTTCGCTGTGGCATTTTACTATCCCTCAGACCTGCAGCAGTGCTCTGAGCCTGCTATCTTGCCTCTGTTAGTCCATGACTATTTTCTCTGCTAATACAAAAAGTTGGGGACTGAACATGTACAGAGTCTTCTTCCCTTTCTGGTTTCTTACAGACCCTGGGTATTCTTGATCCACAAAAGCAGAGGGGCAGTGCTAACTGAGCAGGTAGCTTGAATAACCATGAATGCACTCTTTCTGCTCCTACAGTAGGAGGAGTCATAGACCATTCAGGTCTCTCAGATTCTGTGTCTTTATTCAGTGTCATGATTGCTGGTCAGAGTAAAATTTGCCAAAGGGGTATAAATAAATAAATAAATAAAAAGAGGAACCTGCCATTGTGTTGTCAATAGACTGGCAGTAAACCTCATGGTGAGATGGGGAAGAAGATTCCAAAAAATTGAACTTGAGTGCTGCAACCTTTCTGGGGAGTCTGAAAGTCTTGTTAGAGTTCAGGCTATAGCTGCATGTTTTTGACCAGTGAAGGGCAGCAAGGCATCGGGTGTACTGGATTCTCTGTTGTTTGTACCCTATGTCAAGAGCAGATGCCTTCCTTGAAGTTGAACTACATTTCAAAGGAGAACTCTGGGCTTTAAATAGGAGTTGCTTTGTTGTTTTATTTGGTCAGTCCCATGGAAGAAAATTGTACTAGAGTATCATAACTAATACAGTTGAAACCAAACAATTTGAGGCAATTTGCTAATAAAAATGGACAATTTTGACTGTAGTGGGGGTTTAGCCTCCATTGCAGGTGTATGCAGCCACTGTGAAGCAGTGGGTGTGCAGTAGTTTGCTGTACATCTGATGGCGTGCAGGCTTCAGCAACAATTCCAGCCTTCCTGCAGTCTGGGTCATATTTGGGAAGACTATGGAAAGACAGTGATTTTGGATATAAAATCAGCATTGAAATATATAATCCCAATGTAAAGGTTTAAAAAAACCCAAAACTTGATTAAAAGGGTTAGATGAGAAGAAAGATTTATTAATAACCCTGTAGAAGACATTTAAATAATGCAAATACCTTTTATAAAGCACAGTACTGGAGTTCATGAAATACTTACATAAAGTATTTGGATTGAAGGTTTTATCTAGAAACCTTTGAGCATTTAATCAGGTCCTTGCTGGTGCAATAAATCTGTGCTTAGAATCACTTTCAATTCTCTTGCATGTCTTAATAGCAGCAAGATTAAGTGTCTTGGGGTACTCCTATGTTAATGTCACTTTTATGCAGACATCCACTACAAGGCTCTACTTAACAGTATCAAAACTGGGCTTAAATAATACATAAATTTCAGCTTTCCAGGTTTTTTTTGTTTTTTTTTTTTTTTTTTTTTTTTTTACCTCTCTGTATGAGAAGAAAAGTAAAGAATTCCTTTAATCCTATGAGGCTCCTATATTATAATAAGCCTTAATACTTATCTCTGGCTATCTGGTTTTAAACTGACATATATCCTACTGCTTCAAATATCTGAACATCTGAGTTACCAATATGCTCTTAAACCCAGAGTGTATATGTATTGTGTATGTATGTGCATTAATCACATCAAAGAACAGAAAAAATCAGTATACTCCCAGTGTTTCCCTAATCCTGCAGTATGTTTCTCCAAAAACCTAGACAGTTTTACTTACACTGTTTACTTTGGATGCTCTGTGTGCACTGTTCCTCATTCTGAAGCGAAAGAACATGAGTGAATATTACAAAGCAACACATCAAGGCTGAGTTAGCAACTTGTGTAACACCAACTATGCAAATTACAAATGGGAGCTTGCACTTAAATTTCACAAAAAGCAGATGGCTTGTGTGTGTGTAAGCAGAATTTCCACCATCAGAGAAACATACAGATTCCTTCTCCATGCTTTATAGGCCTCACAGACTTCATTGCAGTCAAGCAGTGAGGAAAAGAACAGTGTAGAGGTTGCTGAAGTGATGACCAGAGGTCAGGGACTAGGATCCACAAATAACCAAAGTAGTACCAATAGGATTATTGGTGAATAGTCTTTTCCAAGTCAGGGGTCCCTCAGTTGAGCAGTCCTCATAATTATCAACTCCCTTTTTAGGCATCACACCAGGTTTCAGCCCTGAATTTTTTAGTGACCAGAAAACTCATGTTGACTATGTGGGATATGGTGATCCACATATTTGCCACTCTGTGCT